ACCCGCTTCATAAACACAGGAAAAAAATGTTTTCCTCTTCTTCTCCTTCTAGTCAAACGCATTGCATTTACATCCCATCTGCTCCCTTTGCGTTTACCTGGTGGCTCAGTACTCATTTACTCTAGAAGTAAAACACTCCCGGGTTCAGATAAACCATGCCAAAACCAGCAATTGTAACCATAGTACAGGTCTATGGTCCAATTCAGGGTACAGAAAGATTGTATTTCAGCATGATCTACTCAGAAAACTGGACTCTGATACAACATAGAGTGCTGCAAAGTTTCGTGCTTCACCTCTAAAACATTGTGATGTGCGAGTTTTTCTAACATCATTATGCAGAAACTTTTTTAGCATATGGTATGACTGAGTGGATAAATGAATTGGAGCATTCTGAATTAGAAAATACTCCCACCTAGCTGTGTACTGATGATGAAAGGAGAAGACTTTTCAACAACAACAAAAAAACAAATCATAATTAAAAAAACAAACTAAAGTGCATTCATGACCAACAGAACTGCAAGTCCTGAGGAAGGTTTGTGTAAAAGGATGAGTTACAAGCAAACTTCACACGCCTATTTTTCCAACAAAGACTTCTGCCCTATTGTTGTCAGGATGAGACCTCAGGTGCATTCAGCAGGCATAAGGGCCTCACTTACTGTCTGTTAAGAACTAGTCAGGGAAACGTCAACCAACAGCCAGTCATTACACCCTGAGATGATATTAGCGATGCTCAGAACCAATGATCCCAGTGTTACTCATGCTTCAAATGTGCTGAATGTTGAAATTAGGTTTAAAGACTCAAAGGATAGGTCTGTATTTGTTAACTAATGATGACTGGCCTTCAGATCTTATGAAGTATAATAATAAAGCGTAATGAACTGTGAAGCTATAATTAAAGTCCATTTAGGAACCAGAGAGAAACTATACAACTTCTTATTTGATATTAAATTTGAATAAAATGTAAACATTACAACATTAATATTAATAATAATTAATATATTTTATATAACAATTAACTCCACATTGTTTAAGCTAATCACTGCTTTTCAGTTTGCTTTTTCATATCAACACCCTTAAATAATGATAATTATAGATGCATTCACATTTATCCTCTTCATTGTTTTTTTGTCTTAAAAAAGTTCTGTTTGCTATTAAACCATAACTCTGTATATTTTAACATTTTATTATTAATGAATTTCCACAGCCCATTAAAATACTTCTACTAAGAAATAAATAACTGATGAGAATTACTCAAGCAGTAGTGACTGTTGATGAGGAGGGACACAATGGCAACACTTTAGTATGAAAGGTGAGAATTATTATATGGGGAAGGGATGAACTGACCTGGAGCCTTTATAAACAAATAGAAATAAACTTAAAAATTCATGGGAAAAACATTGGTAATGTGCTTTTTAGGAAACCCAGCATTTTAATAACTGTTTTGTAACCCCAGTATAAGTTATCAACACAGATTGTTTAGCTCACAATTTGATGTCCACGGGGCTGCACAGTAGCGCAGTGGTTATCATTGCTACCTTGCAGTAAGAAGGTTCTTTGTTCGTCTTTCTGCATGGAGTTTTCATGTTCTCCCTCTGCATGTGTGGGTTCTCTCCGGGTACTCCGATTTTCTCCCACTGTCCAAAAACATGACTGTTAGGTTAACTGGCTTCTCTAAATTGTATTTAGTGAGTGTGTGTGTATCAATGAATGTTCGTCCTGTTTGTCTCTGTGTTGCCCTGGGATAGACTGGCGACCTGGCACCAGCGCTGTCAAATTACAAAAGAATAGTAAGCGTACTAAACTATAAAGTATTAAAGGTTAATAATGTATTTCCTGGGGAAATAAATGCCTTAAAATCCTTTCTGTTTAATCTCTTTTCTTTGTCCAATCTGCACCAGAAATGGGATCCTACACTACTTCTGGGAGCTAACTTTTTCGGCTTTAGATTTAAACACAAATCTAGTCTTTTTGAGTTTTATGTTTTCCTGTCGTGTTAACCTAATGGTTTATAGTGCTTAAACTAAAGAAAGAAATAACAAAAAAAGATAAGCATGGTTTAATCATATTTTGCCAGACTACTCTGAGCATGTCCAATGATGATGTCAGACAAGCAGTTTAACAGAGAAAATGTAAAAAGCATCAGATTTTCTCAGAAAAATCATAAAAAAAGTTTTATTGATTTGTATTAAGTGAGTTGCTCTCCAAGGGGATGGGTTAAATGCAGAGGTAAATTTCTCCAATGTGAGATCAATAAAGTTCAATTATTAATTATTATTATTACTGTTCTTCACTAAACACTGTAAGAAAATATCAGTTTTATACCTATTATGAGTTTCTGTCAGTTGCCTCGTTCTCCTTTTGAACGTTTTTACTTCAGGCACTGTCTGAGGACTGGAACCATCAAATAAAACTCCTTTAATTTGTCTACTGCCTGTTGATGCAAAAAATACTGAGCAATGATTTGCTTGGTTAAAGGACAGAGGAAAAATTAATCTCGATTGTACTCACCTTTTAACACTGATACCAGCGGAAACCTTAGAAATGTTTTTTTTTTTAAACAGTGAAATTGGAAAGATTTGGGGATTATTCACTTTATTAAAATCAATCTAAAATTGATATAAAATAAATAAATTAAGTTAGACTCCTATAACCAATTAAGTTTAATAATTTAATTATCAATATCTTCTTCTTTGAATCAACATAGACCAAAATCAAAGGCAAACTGGTGCTACAAGTGGGGCAATCTAGAAAAAAAAACACACTATTTACCAGAAGTGATGGTAATGGTAATGGTAATGGTAATGGTGATGGCTTTTTCTTTTGTCTAAATGGTTTCTCCCTGGGTGGTGTCACACCCATTGTTAGCGTAATTCATTTGACAAGAACGTTTCGCATTTCGGCGGAGGCAGCTAGTCTGATGAATAGATGACAAAGACCTAGAAAGTTTTTCAGGGTTTGTTCACATGACTTTAACGACTCTTAAGGTGTGCCCCCAAACTCACCTGAAACTCCCCATCAGTCACTCAGGAGGGAGGAAGTCTTTCAGACAGACTGGAGAAGCATGAATAGAGAAATGCACATGCTTTCTGTTTGAGGAATTACACATCAGAGATGGAGTCCAACACCATGCTCATTCGTGAAGAGAAAGGTATAGTAATGCTTGACAAAGTTTAATATTTTGGCATGATTTAGATGAAAGAAGCCGATTTCCTTACTAGAAATTGAAAGAGTTAAACAGTGAGAGGATTAATGGGTTATCAGTCTGGGTTTTTTTCCTTATGTAGGTCATTCTGAAATACATGAGAAGTGCTGGATCTCTAAAAATTTGATATTCTGACAACCCATCCTGCAATTTCCAACTCAGCGGATCATAATCCAAGCAAGACAACATGTCATAAATGAATGCTCTCTTTTAATTTTGAAAGTAAATATTTGGAGGGTCTAACATTATAATTAGTTTAAGACCAGTCGTATATTCAATTTCTGCATCGTGAATTTGACCTACAGAACTGTATATAATTGCCATTGTTCCCAACCCAAACTCTCTCTAATGTTTAGGCCTCATGCTCTGGCCTCTGTTTTCTATTAATATAAATTCATTAATCCATTGGAAAACATTTTCTATAAGTTTTACTGGTATTACTTTACAGTATATATATGCATTTCTGTAAATTGAACCAATCTATCTTGCTTGACAGTCTATAGCCAATATGCCTGAGCACAATCCTAAAAGTTGTTTGCTTATGGATATGAAAATGAGAGTAGAGACAAAAGTCTAACGTGTGTTTTCTAAAAAGTATTTTAAAAAGGCAAAGGAGCCCATTCATTCTATAAAGGCAATCACTAATCTGACTTTCCATGGGCATTTGATTAGAAATATTTGTTTTTAGGTTGCTTTAAGGACGTTTAGTCATATGAATGAGGCATTGTTAAAAACTAATTTGGAGACCAAGTAAAGCATTTAAACAGAGATAAATTTAGTTATCCTATTCTTTATATTTTCCTTTTAAGCAGACGTGTTTTTCTTATTACATTTATGTTAATCAATAGTTTTTTCAGACAATAGTGTCTGAAAATGGCGGCATATTAGTTGAAGAGCCAAAAGATCTTTTTTCTTTACCTTTTTTCTTGCAAGAGTACATTACACTGTATCTCGTTCCTTTCCCCATTTTAACCCATATATAACATACTGTTCATGTATTTTAAATATTTTATTACCAAAATATACTTTTCTTAATAATGAACGTATGTTATAGAGGTGTAAGAAAAAAATCTATTCTGTCAAATATCTCTATATTTGACAGTCGTTTGTAAGCAATGCAGCGCCCAAGTTTCTATCATTCAGCTGCTCTGCAGCAACCACAATAGACCAACAGCATGATTTTGTGAGGTTTCAGAGCTATACTATTATAGAAATCGCAAAATATAGTCTTTGTTGATCAGGATATATCTGAAACATTATATCATGACACATATGGCATGATAAGTAACGAATCACCACACCCCTTGTATGTAATATGTTTCCTTTTTATCATTAACCTGATTTTATTTATTTATTTATTTTAGTTTTTACGGCACCAGTGGCTCGTTTTTTGGACAGTAGGCATACGGCTAAGGACCACCGGTCTGATTTGAATCTGGGTCGCCCGCGTCAAGGACTAAGGCCTCCATACATGGGTTGTGTGTGCTAAACACTGCGCAACCGAAGCATGTTTCAACATTATTATTATTTAACATTATTTGTTTCAAATATGAAGCTATGATCATACATAGGAGGTAGATCAATTACTCAGTACTTGATTGGCCAAATAATCTTTTACTCTTACTTAAGCAACTTCTGGGTTGGCATCTTTTACAAAAACAGTGTTTCAGTGATGCATGGTCTGCAAGGCTTATGGTTGAGGGGAGGGTTGTGTACAGATTTAAAGGGGAGGGACATTTCAACTACTTTACTGGGCCCCTGCCTTACAAAGTATTTACCTGTGTGTGTTGTTTCATAGTTTCTCAGATGGTGATTGAAGAGGTCAGTGTTCTGCAGACTCAGCTCGAGATCGAAAAGTCTTGCCGAGAGAATGCAGAGGCCCTGGCCACTAAGGTTGGTCCAACACATAAGCACTCAGTAATCGATGCAAGATAATTAGCATTATCAGCTGGCATCGGCAAGAGAATGGGACAAACAGATGAGTCAGGATGACTCTGCAGGGAGAAACTTACCATGTCATCTTTCTGTTAATGGAGAGGTCAATGCATTTTTTAATATTCAATAAAAATAGATGGTAGAACGATGATGAGAATGGATTTAGTTGCAGTATAAGCTTCTTACTGTTGATTATTGTTATCTTTGATGTGCAGCTAAACTGTGAAAACAGGAAACTGAAGTACCTTAGCCTTTCATCTCGTCCATGTTTGGATGAACTGCTTCCAAGTATCTCTGACTGCATTGCACTCGAAGCTGATGTTGACCCTGCAGACTCTGTGGACAACAGCCCTGACACCATCTCTCAGTGCCAGCAACAGGTTAAAGGTACAACACGCACATTTAATTGAGCGTTTTTAGTCTAAATTACCTGGCATCACGTGTTTCACTAAAGCATCATGTCGTTAAGCTGTCATTACACCTTCTAACTCATCCCATTTCCTAAACCAGTTTGTTGTATTCACTCCCTTAACTTTTTGGGATGTCTTTTTTTTCTTTTCCATTTATACCAGTGTTTTTATTGTTTTAATTTTCTCCCAATCTCTAATATCATTTCTCTTTCTATCTTTCCTAAGTTTTTCTACTTTATGAACATACATATTTCATGAGTTTCATAAGGAACAGAAATAATCAGCATCTGCATTGCAGCAGTCTTTATAGACATGATATAAAAGAACACATCTAAAGGGTTGTAGGCCTCATCTCCCTATGTTAAGAAGAATTTGTTAGAATTAATGTTTTAACATCGAGAGTGAGGCCTGGCAATGATGACGTCAATAATAATGGCATCCATAGGAGTTTTCCGAGATTAAAACCACTTCTGAATAAAAGCTAAATGCAAGCCCAGGGCAATACTCTGCATTGATGATACCATATTAGAACATTTTATCAAAAGTGCGTAAAACTAAATGCAGTTCTTAAATAGAACATTACACCAGCAGTGTTTGGTTCTCCTCTGCTGCTTCAGACCCCGAACCATTAGGGATAAATGGGGCAACCATGAATTCAACTCTCCAACCAAACATCTCAAACAGAAATGTTTAGCCACATCTGAATGGCTAAAAGAAATGGATTTTTGCAAGTTCAGATTTTGGCATGACAAAACCTTAAACAGGCCATTTATAATATCAAAACTTCTAATGGCTGAATTAAAACACAGCTGCAAAGAAGGAAGACCAACATTTCTCCACAGTAAGGTAAAAGCTCATTACCAGTTATCACAATTGCCTGATGGTCATTATTGGTACCACATTATTATTTCTTTAACACGGGACCAGGTATGTTAGAAGGGGATTTTTTTATTTTATTTAAATAAAAAAAGGTTTTTCTTAGTTTCTCAGGTTTTCCTTGTGTAATATTTAATAGATGGTCCACAACCTTCATTGTAACAAAACTGTACAAAAGGGATTTTTTTATTCCCCACTATCAATAAACCAAGATGTTGTTTCTTCAGAGTTGAGGGAGACAGTGACCAGTTTATTGGAGGAGAAGAAAGGATTCGTTTGTCAGATTCACGAACAGCAGAGACAGATAGAAGAGCTGACCATACTGGTAAGAGCAGGTCTGCACACACGTGCACTACTCTGTCACAAACCGCTGACTCTTGCTTTTTCCTTTAACTGTTCCTGACTTTTTCACATCTTCATGTTGTCATCAGTCTGAGAAAAATCAGGAGGAGATGAAACAGCTTCGGGAAACAGTCGAACAGCAAAGCAAAACCATCAAGAGATTTAACAGAGGTGAGTCACAATAGAAGGAACTTGTGATTTTAGAAGCAACTAGAATCAAAACCATACCAACATAGCGCTGTTTGAATAAAGACACATTTACACTAATTTACACATAAATACACCCTAAGAAGACACGTTTTAAGTCAGCTATGCTTTTTTTTTTGTAGCTGTCATTTATTTTAAGAGAATCTGATTTTTATTGAAAAACTTTAGTTCCAGAATATTTTCTCTTCTTTATAGCAGAGACCATCATAGGAAATGTTCAAATATACAATAAAGTATTAGCAGTAAGCCATACAATTAAGACAAAATGGTACAAAGAAAGCAAAGTGATTATCTCTATCAGAATCCTTGTCTTGCACTCTTTAAGCTCATCACACTTTGTACATCTGCTCTGGAGACAAAATAGGGAAAATAATAAATTTTTTATTTTGCATTTATTTTTTGTTTAACCCCAAATATTCTATGTCTCTTTCTGCAGTCTCTATGATGGCAGCTCAGGAGTATGATGGGATGAAGGAGAGGCTGGATTTGGAGCAGAACCTCAGAGTCAAAGCTGAGACCTATGCACACGAGGTAAACGAGGGAGTAACAGAAACACAAGGTTAAACTGTAGGAAACTGTTTTACTGTAGAGCTCTCATTAACCTTTGACATTGTTAGATGTTAAACAGAAATTTTGGTTACATAATAATGGCAGCAAATATTTCAAAAGATTAAAGCATCCAAATCTATCTGTCTACTGTCTATATATGCTGGGTTTGGAAATTGATAAATTAAAAATGTTTTACTTAACTGAGAGGAAAAAAATACACTCCAGGATTTATAGTTATTGAACATAACTAACATTTCTGAAAGCAAAGAGGCCTCCTCCTCATTTTTTCTTTTTCTTTTCAGATGCTGGTTAAGCAGAAGGAGGCCAACAGACAGAGCATGCTACTGCTGCAGAGTGCTGAGCCCAGCATTCAGCTGCTGAAAGCTCTGGAAGATGTGGCAGCTATTACTAAAACCCTGGAGGAGGAGCGTCTGCAGCATCAGCAGAAGGTAAACCCAGAATTATTTCCCTTCAGTTCTACTTTAAATGTCAGGAGCTGCAGGGATTTGTCAATCTTCATAGTGTGTTTGTGTGTTGGTCAATTTAGCCAGCTGAAAGCTTTAGATCACCACAAAAGAGACAGAAACCGCATTTAGACAAAAATGTGCTTACATTTTCTTTAACGAAGTAGTAATAAAAGAGAAGTATTAATTTTTCCATTTCGGATACAATTTTAGGTGCACATGCTCATTTTTAATTGAGATGCTTCATAGCTCTCTGTTTCTGTACAGAAATCAGATTAACTTAAAAAGAGCGTCACTTTTCAAAACTGACAGAAAGAAGCACATCTTGCTTCCTCTTCAACGCTGCTCAATGCTACTTTTCTTTTCTAGTAGGATTTTGTACTTGCATAGATTGCCAAATATTTAAATTCCTTTTTTAATGTTATTTACTTGACAAACTTAAATGTTTTATGGATATTAGGCCCAGAAGATGGGGAGAAACATCCAGTCTAGCCATATAAGGTTGCTATTAAAATAACAGCGGCAATAACAGGCTAATCACCTCCAGTGCCATGCAATATTCATGTAAATAGAGCACCTATCAAATACAACGCTGTATCATGCTGATATACTGTACAACACTCTGAATTATGTTTCTAAAATAAATATTTTTTAAATAAAATTTGAAGTTACAAATTTGCACCTGAGTCCATCTTAGGGTTAATGCATATATTTCCTCTCCAACAGTAACTGCCTTTGATTACACACACATACAGTAGAAAAGAAAACTGGTTGTTACAATTTGTGAGATTTATAAAATTTAATTTGTTCATAGCTAATCTATGCATGATGCAGAAATACTTTAGACTAATAACACAATCGCACTCTACATCTATTTGTTTCATGTTGGGTCTAGGTACAGAGCCTGGAGACCCAGCTAGAGGAAAGCTGCCTGAAGAAAGAGCTGCAGGCTCTTCAGAGACAGCTAGAGCTGCTGGAGGTGGAGAAGAAGGAGGTGGAGGGACGACTGGAGCAGGCGGAGAAGAAGAACGAGGAGCTGGAGGAAAGAGGTGGGTGGAGTTAGAGAGGAGGACGTTTATGGGCTTTCAGAGAGCAGAAAAAATAGTATTATCAAGACATTCTGCATAGCAACACAAAATACTTCGTCCTGGTTGGCTGGCATTCTTTACAGGAGAAAATAAAGAGAAAAGACATGAGAAAGAAAGCTCAAGAAAGATGTTAGCTCAAAATGTTATATTAGGTTTGAGAAAGAAAATGAACTGATGCTTGTTTGTAGCTGTGCATTGATTTAACATGTTGATTCCACTGATGGTGACACACATTTCTGACTGCATTGGAAGCTAGAACCCAGTAATTTCCCTCTGGAAGTAATTTCCCTCTGGGATTATTAAAGTATTTCTGATTCTGATTCTGATGATCCCATACTTTGGTCACACAAACCTCAGCTAAGATTTAATAAAGTATTTAACCTGCAGTCTCATTGGCTTCCATATTGTTTTTACTGTTCTTAGTGTGTTACGTTTTCTGTTGTTTTTTTTTTAGTCCATGAGCTCCAGAATAAAATTGTGGACAGCACCAGCCTTCCTCCGCCAGCACCGGGGGTAGCACCACCTCCCACACCTCCCCCACAGCCCCCTCCGCCCCCTCCTCCTCCCCCACCGCCTCCCCCACCCCCTCCCCCTTCCAGATGCAACCCCCTCAGGTGAGACTTTAAACAAACAGATACTCTGGTGTCAGAAGCAACACATTAAACACAATAATCAATGTGCTACCTTCTAAAAAAGAGTGAAACTAACAGAAAATATATAGAAACAGGTCAGGGAATGAATGACTAATGACATTTCTCTTTATTAGCTCTCTGATTGCCATCATGAGGAAGTCATCTAAAGGCTCCAAGGCAAAGATGGAGCCCACTCCAGGTGAGAACCGTCAAGTTTCCATCCATCCAAATAGAAAAAATAAAAAATCTCAGAGTACAGCACAGTATCATGGTTGGGGAATAGAATACACCATTAAATAATCTGCCACGGTTTCAAATGCAAATCAGAAGGTGTATGAGGAAAATGTGAGACATCTGTAAAAATGATAACACTTAGGAAGAACCCACAACATGACAGTGAGCCTGACTCCACCTGTAAACCCACAGACTGACAATGTTTAAAATGGGAAGATGTCAAAGTTCAGGCCTTGATCTAACTAACATGTTGTGGGGCGACTTGAAACCAGCGGTTCATACAACAAACACCTCAAACATCTCCCAGCTTCCAAGTGAACAGTATGTGAATACAAGAACTTATGGAAGAGTGGAAGCCAAGCCCACATCATCATCTAGGTTTTGTGTTCCTTAAATCATCCCTCGCTGACATCACTGAGATTTCAGCGAGGGTTATCGGTTCAGACCGTTTCCATGAGGGGATACAGTTTATCAGAAGCAATGTTTAGGTTGATGACTTCACACAAATCTCACACTCTGAGGGGCTTCCAGAATCTATGCTATGGTGAAGACATGATCCTGTTTCCTTACGGCTGATCAGTTGCCAAATCAGTTACATTTTCATTTGTGTCCTACTTTTTTGGTTGTGGTTAAGATATTCAGTTTCTGGTATTGTCTTTGTTGTCTGCCCACTCTCATAGGTTGTGTCATTAGATTAACCCTTTGAAGGGCACTCAGTGAAATACTATGAAGATCAATATTTCAAGCCAAAAGTGTTATTGGAATCCAGGACAAGACCTTATTGCCTTTGTAAAATTAAAAAAATATGGATATTTTTATGGCAAAAATAATTGTCAGTGTAATAACAGGAAACACCAACTTGCCCGAATATATTAGGAAAAATAACAAAAGGGCTTCTGTAAGAAATTCATGAAAAACACTCTGAGAGTTAGTGGAACACATTTTTTTTGGAACAACATAACCTTAGAAGCATTAATGCTGATACTTGCACTTACATTTTTTTAGTTTATAAACCTAAATATAATTGTTAACTAGGCTTATTAACTTTTTAACTTTACTTTTTAAATTTTCGATTAGTTTTTTACCCTTTTTTCTTGACTTAACTCTTTTTTCCAACTTAATTTACAGTAGGTAATATATCATTCAAAGGCTCATCTAGTTAGTCTATTGCCAAAATCAGATGTACAGCCATGTAGCACTATCTCTGCTGAGTAGCTGGATATAGATCTTGTGGTTCTAAACCTCACTGAGGGACAGGGGGGGACTCCATTTGTAAGGGGTATGCAACTGATCAAAAATGGTAACACGCCCTATAAAGGGTTAAGTTGTGACTCTTTTCAAAATGTCTGCAGCTGCTGAAGGGGTGGATGATGTCAAGGTGAAAGCGGTGAATGAGATGATGGAGCGAATCAAACATGGCGTCGTCCTCCGACCGGTTAAAAGCCAGGAGAGCAAAGTAAGAAGAGCTGGCTGGCTTTTTTTTTTTTTTTTTTTTCTAGTGATTCCAAAGTTTAGATTATGATCTTTGCAGATTATAAAAATCTAACAACTTTCCTATCATATGGATATAAGATTTTCTGTCTATTTGTTCCTGTTTAGCCCTGGTTGTTTCAGTTAAATGTAGCTATTGCTAAGTAGGAACACATCTGGCATTATAACCTGTAATTAGCGGATCAGATATTACGGTAGTTGAACTGCGTTCAGACCTTTGTGATGCTCACAAAGGTCTGAATTTCTATTCAATTATATTCAGGTTTTTAACTCGTTTGATGGGATGAGTCCATTTGGAAAGAAACTTGTTCATGTCTTGATATGTTGTTTCTGGTTTTCTGATGGTGTTCTATGATTTTCATGCCTTCTTTTATGAAGTGCACCATTCACTTCTGGAAAAACACAAAACAGACTATTCCCACCCCTGTACTTCACACTTAGGTTGGTGTTCTGATGGTTCTGAAGGTTCTGCTTTTTACTCCAAAATTAACAGTGGTTAATGTGGATAAACACTTGGGCTCTTTGGTCCTTTAGCATTAGTTAACAGTAATCTGACTTATTTATCGTGATCTGGGAATAATGGCTTCTTTCTGTTTGAATGGCCTTATAGCCCAGGTTGGTAAAAATAGCTTACAGAGTCATAACATTATAATCTAGAGTTTCCCCATTTGTTTGAAGGCATTTTCAACTCATGCATTTTCCAACTGAACTGGAACAAAAATGTTTAGTCAAAGTTATGTCAGACGGTGAAAAAAAAAAGATTTTATGTTTAAGTGCATGAAAACATTGGATTTCATCTCTTGTATATGTGGCACACTTTATCTCACAAATCTGTGAGTTAAAAATGTGGAGCACTGCTGTAAAGCTATAATTTCTGCAAAATAGAAAGAGGACGTTTTACAGTACAGTTAGAAAAAGACGTTACCTACAACCAGCTCAAAACAATGGGAAGTAAGGGCACATTAAATAGAAAACTAATTTATACAACATCCTGCAATCTACTATGGAATCATTCCAATAAGGAATGATTTTGCTCTTTTTGTCATACTTTGTGTTTATTGCTGTTGGGCCAATTTATTTAGCTAAAGAATTAAGACATTTCAAGCAGGGAAACCTAGAGAAACACAGATTCCTGTCTTTTTTGTTCCTCTTCCATCTTTATGTTATCCTTGTGTTTTTATAAAGACGAGGATGTCTGATAATTCCTGTAGGACTCTGAAAGGTCTCTGTCTTTTTCTTTTTCCTCTCTGTCTTCATTTTTTCTCTGCTGCATCAGAGAATAGCAGTGAAAGTGAGTATATTGAGTTTTGCTTTAATCAGATCTTCCGCCCCCTGCAGTCACTTAACAGAGAATCCTAACAACTCCTGCTATCCTGGTTAAATCATGTAAAAATCTGCCACAAATGTCACACTTTTTTTTTTTTTTACAATTTAAAGACACAGAAAGTGTCTTCTCTGCCACTTCTTCCAGAATAAGCTGCTCTTATGATAACTTGTGAACATTAGTAAATCAAAGTGTGTCGATATTATTTCCTTGCAGCCTCCACCCTGTGAGGAGAAGCCACAGGAGAGCGCCATGGATGAACTGAAATGCATCCTGGTAAAATCAGATTTTCTCCTCTATTTGGTGTTTTATTTCAGACATTTCTATTTAAAATGGGCTGTTTCTAGTTTCAATCTATGTTGAAGTGTTTTTTTTTTTATCAGTTCTTCTCCAAGTTTTCCTTTGAGTTTTAAATGTATTTTACATTTTTAACCCAGATTCTTTTGCACATTTCACTGGTCTGACCAATGAGTCACTGAGGAATAAAACTTATAAAGGCACCGCCATGCGCGTGAGAATGCTCTCTGTAAATGCTGGGATGTTTATGTTCTGCTGAAGGAGACGGTGAAGAGGAGCCCCAGCCGAGGCTCCCAGGAATCTGGACCTTCACCGCCAGCAAAAAAGGACAGTGAGCTGGAGGTGATCCTCAGGCGCCGCCGCAACAAGGCTGGGGAGGCGGGATCAGGAGGTACATCTGATCCATCTATCCATTCAATTCAATTCAGTTTATTTATGTAGCGCCAATTAACAACACATCATCCCGAGGCCTTTTACAGTTCACCAGATCATACAGTCAAATTGATTTCCATCTAAGGAAAACCAGTTGATTGCATTGACTCATTGACCCAAAAGCAATCCCTCACACTAAGCATGCCTGTAGCAATAGTAGAGTGGGAAAACTCCCTTTTAACGGGAAGAAACCTCCAGAAAAATCAGGCTCACTATGAGCGGCCATCTGCCGAGGGCGACAGGGGCTCAAGGAGACAGAAGCAGAGATAAAAATGGCAACTGTAAAATTCTGCCCAAGTCCAGGAAACACACAGCCAGGCAGATGAGCTCCGAGCTAGCCCCAATGTCAGAGGATGAAGAGGGCAAATCCAGCTAGTCACAGTCAGAGAAACAGGACTACACTGAAAAACAGGCCAATCACCAACATCTAAAAACAAAGGTTTTGATGGCAGCAGCACAGCTGATATTTCTCTCCAGGATAGTGTCACAGCCGAACAGGAACAAATGAGGCGAAGCTGCTATGACAAAAAGCAGAGAGAGCATAATAGTAGAGATTAAACTAACATATTCTGCAGTGGGAAGATAGAGATAGAATGAGGCAGAATGATGAAAAAGGGGTTTCTATGTCCTCCAGAAGTCTAAGCCTATAGCAGCATAACTATAGAGATAGCTCAGGATAACCTGAGTCACTCTAACTATAAGCTTTATACAAAAGGAAAGTTTTAAGCCTAGCCTTAAAAGTAGACAGGATAGGCTCTTGTGGAACCAAGTACCATACTGTGGGTTGGTTCCACAGGAATCTATTAAATTCTAGGAACCACTAGTAAACCTGCAGACTGAGAGTGAAGTGCTCTGTTAGGAACATAAGGAACAATCATATTTCTGACATAAGATGGCTCTTGGCCATTTAGGGGTTTATATGTGAGAAGGAGGATTTTAAATTGTATTCTGGATTTAACAGGACCCACCCACCCCAGCAAGGATGTTAAAATCCCCCACTATGATGACCCTGTCAGTATTTAACACCAAATCAGATAGAAACTCTGAAAACACATCTAAAAATTCAGAGCAAGGACCTGGTGGATTATACAAAGTTACAAAAAGAAGAGGTTTTCTTGCTTTGCAATTAGGAAACTAAGGGTTAAATGTTCAAAAGAACAATCATCCATCCATCAATCCATCCACCCATCCATCCACCCACCCATCCATCATCCATCCATCCAACAATCCATTCATCCATCCAACAATGCATCCATCCACCCATTCATCCAGCCATCCATCATCCATTCATCCATCCATCATCCACCATCCAACAATCCATCCATCATCCATCCAGAAATCTATCCACACATCCATCCATCCATCATCCACCATCCATCCATCATCCATTCATCCATCCATAATCAGCCATCCAACAATCCATCCATCATCTATCCAGAAATCTATCCATCCATCCATCCATCCATCCATCCAGCCATCCATCATCCATTCATCCATCCATAATCAGCCATCCAACAATCCATCCATCATCTATCCAGAAATCTATCCATCCATCCATCCATCCATCCATCCAGCCATCCATCATCCATTCATCCATCCATAATCAGCCATCCAACAATCCATCCATCATCTATCCAGAAATCTATCCATCCATCCATCCATCCATCCATCTATTATCCATCCATCCAGCCATCCATCATCCATTCATCCATACATAATCCACCATCCAACAATCCATCCATCATCCATCCAGAAATCTATCCACACATCCATCCATCCATCCATCCATCCATCCATCCATCCATCCATCCATCCATCCATCCATCCATCCATCCAGCCAGCCAGCCAGCCAGCCAGTCAGCCAGCCATCCAGCCATCCATCATCCATTCATCCATCCATAATCCACCATCCAACAATCCATCCATCATCCATCTAGAAATCTATCCACACATCCATCCATCCATCATCCACCATCCGTCATCCATCCAGAAATCTATCCACACAACACATCCATCCATCCATCCATCCATCCATCCATCCATCCATCCATCCATCCATCCATCCATCCATCATCCACCATCCATCCATCCATCCATCCATCCATCCATCCATCCATCCATCCATCCATTCATCAATTTATCCAAATAATATAGATTATTTTTATATTATCCATTCATCAATTTATCCAAATAATATAGATTATTTTTATATTATATAGAAATAGCTTTTGTGTAATATAAATATACCCATATATGTATATAATACAATTCTAACTGTAGCTAAAACTAGACCACCATTCACCTCCTGGTGACAGTAAAAAGAAATGACTCATGGCCTCCTCTAGAATGAAATAAGCTCCTAGTTTCTGTCCATGAGGCAGAGACCCATCTGCATGTTTTATTAAACCTGTTTTTCTCCTTTTTTATCTCCAGATGAACGCGAGGGCCAGATGAGCCACGTCTCTTCTTTTGACAGCTTGAATGGGAGACGCACCAGCAGCGATTCAGGCAAAGATTCAGAGGGAGCGAGCGGGCTGAGCGCCCCCTCGGAGGCGGCAGGAATAGTCCGGGTCAGTCCAGACAGAAGGGGTTCTGGACCGGGACCTGTGGTGGCCCCAAGGAAGCACTCTGACATGGAGAGAAGATCCTGCAGCTCTCTGCCTGAAAAAGAAATATCAGAGTCTCCGATCACTAACGGCTGCATCAACAGGTGATGCATCTAAATGTTAGGAGCAGATGATTGGTTTTCATAAAGTAATCAGATATTTGTACAAGTGGTCACATTAAAACCATTCACTCAATGTATTATTACTGGGAATGAGGTGCCTAACTTAACAAGGAAGAAACAGGTGCATGCCTTTCAAAAAAATTTTTGAAAGGTGACAATTGTCAGCAGTTGTAATCTGTCTTCAACTCAGTACTTAACACCTTATTTCTTTAGAGTTTGATCAAATTGGGGTTAAAGTATCAGTCTAGTACCAATATAAACTATGCTTCTTCTTTGCGCAATAGTTAAAACTTCAATAGATATGAGGGACATCGTCTTTGAAGCTAATTCTACAAATTCTGTTTTATATAAAAGCCCAACAACAAAAACAGTAGTAGAAAATTTGCTTTAGCTCTATATGCAGCACTTAAGTAACTTGTTTTGTTTTGTCACAAGGTTTGTTTACTTCGTTCCTGTCAAATAAAATGGAAATGGAAGCAATTTGCAATTCCTGACACCAATTGTTAGTTGGATTTAGAGCTGGATAAGATTGATCCATTCTATGTAATGAATATTCTCTGATTTTAATTTGTCTTTATTCATCTTTTCATTAGTTTCGAGCAGCTTTCCTGTCCCTGCTGAAGAAAAGCAGGACTGCTGCCATGATACCACCATAATTCAAACTGAAACTGTCTTCCTATGTCCTTCATTTTCAATATTGACTTTCTTCCTGCCATGAAGGCACGCTTCCTAAAGTGTTTTCTTTTCAGTACGTGATTCCACAACAGCTGTGGATCTCTGCAGTCCTCACTGCTATGTTGGGCCTTTTTGCTGCCTATTAACTAATTTATTTACTGCTCAAAGTAGTTTATTTTCAATGGACTATGTTAAGAGTTAAAGTTTCAAGAATGAAAATAGCTGAAGGGCAGGCTTTGTTTCTGTATATGTATGCATATATTTGTTTTTAAATACACTTTAGCTCAGTTCAGTTAGAAAATATGGTTAAAAAAAATGCAGAATATATAGAAAAATATAGAAAGCAGAACAATAAACTAATAAGTCATTATCTCCTTTCTCTGCTCTTTAGCACCGATGAGGAGAATCAGATAAAGTCAAACGGAGTCGACCACGAGGAGCCTGGCCACAGTCCCCACACTGACCCTCTAAACGTTAGCGCTGATGCAGACTGCTGAGATGAACTCTGACCATTTTAGGTTCTACGATCTGAAGAAAGCAAAAACAAAGCGATGAAACACGTTTGCCTTTTTTACACTAATGGTATCAAATGCGCTTTAAAAATCTTGTTTTTGTTTTGTTTTCTTTTTCTCTCAGATTTACAGCAACAAAAAGGCAACTAACCACAGTAACAAAAACAACCTGATTCATTTAGATAATTTAGCTTTAAGGTAAACCTAAGGTTTTCATCAAATGTAAATGTTCAGACTAAAGCAATGCAGAAAGCATCCAGACTAACTCAGACTTTCAGTTTTTCTTATTTTAACTCCTGTTTGAAACATCTCATGTTTACCCAGTAAAGAACATTGATGTTACCTACAGTGTGTTCTGCTTTACAGTGGTAGGAGACAGAGGCCTAATAGATTCCCTAATCAGATGGTTCTGATGGTCTGATGGAGAAGGTGATGTGTGCCTTATTCCCACACTTGAAAGAAAATCTAATAAAGGGAATATTTTGAAATCAGGCGATTGGGGATCCAGCAAAAAAAAAAAAAAAATAAGATAATTATAAAACCAAACAAAAATATTTTTACTAAATCTGTAAAATCTAACACATTTTCTGGAAAGATGTGTCAGACAGGAGGAATGGTCCAGTTTGGGTGTATTTCCTCTACAGAAAGTGCTGTTGTTAAAGGCAAGCTCTGTGTTGACACCTTGAAGCAGTCGCTCTCCGAATTATTTTTCCTGAGAATAGATCACTTGGGACAAACTGTTTAATTAACACTTCATAACTTATATGTATTAAATAACCAGGAGACATGACAACAGATTTTGATAGAAATTGTAATCTTACTCAGATCAGAGAAGTTGCTTTGAGTTACAGAAGGCAGCTGCTTACCAACCGGGCTCACTTCTCATGAAGCAGCCCCGATTCACAGTTAGAGAAGCATTTCATACATCTCCAGTCTGCCACATTATTACATCATACACATTTGCAGATAAGGAGACATCCATGGCTGCAGCCTTATCAAAATATTACACTTTGTTCTAAAGCGACGCCGCTCTCATTCTATTCCCAACTCTTGGCCATGTACAGAATGAAGATTATAACTGTATATCCGGACAGAGGAGCTGTCCTAATTAGATCAACTACTGGGCAAAACATCAGTTCTGACATGCAACAGGCAGGTAATAATAGGATGTATTAAACTCACACATAATCAATGATGGTCATGCAAGATGTTTTAAGAAGTGGCCCCTCTAGAATGGCCACAAGAGGGTGCAAATGTTTATATCACAGACAAAGTCCTGCTGCTGGGGGGCAACTGTGTCGATCTGCATGAGGACATGACCATGTTGATGACTCTTCCCAAAATCAGGCCACTACAGATCATTGTTTCCCACACTAACCAGGACTCATGCAAATCCTGGTTATGACCACTATCAGGCTTCATTAGGTTCAACATTTATGCTGCTGTTTGATATAAGGCAATATCTGAGACTGCAAGAGGGTAACTGTCCTATATAATAGATCAGTCCACAGTGTGATGGCTACCAGAGAGGAAGGGAGACATGAAGTGAAGATTAATTTGATGATTTGTTGTTGTAGTTATTTTATCTGATAGCTGTAGACTTGCATTGTGGCTAAAAGAGTATCAATGCAGCTTTAACTAGACGCAAAATCTATGCCTGTACAGATTACATCCAGATTGGACCATATCTTCTACTGTAGGTGCTCTCATCTTATTCTAACTCATCCTCAAATATTAGAAATCGGAGGAAAATTAGTAGTTTGACCCTCATAAAAAATACCAAGAAAAGAAATCAGAAAAAAGACATTTAATAAAATGTTTCTTTTTTTTTTTCCTTCTCCTGATCTTAGCTGGTCAGAAGAGTACTGGCTAAAAATCAGCAAAAAAGGTTTCCCTTTTTTTCATCTCCTGATAAAATATCTTATAAAGTTGAAATGTCAAAATATGAAACTGTAATCTGAAGACTAAAGAATACATTTTAAAGGAAAGTTTTCAGAAGGCAAATCTGACTGATCTGACTCAGAGGAGACTGTAGCCATTTGCACTAAAGTCCTGCTCTAATATTAACAAATAATAACGTTGCATCCATTTTGTTCTCAGTTTAATGAACAAAGATGCACTTGGTTAAATGTTTGATCAGGAGGAACGTCCTGTGCTGCTGAGCTTCTGGTTTAGGATTGTGCATTTTAACAAGGTAAAGGGAATTCCAATTTTACTGCATTTCTAAGGATTAAACTAACAGTAAATCTGATTTAGGTTTTGACTTCAGTTTATCCTGCTGCTACATATTTATTCAAGTTTTTAACAGTTTTATATAATAATTATTTGAACTCTTTCTATGTTTTAGGGAACTGATACTGGAGTAAATTAAGTAGATGCTGATAATGAAACACCACCCTTAACAATTGATGGCACCCCTAACAGAGATACTTAAAGAGCCTTATAGTTCAGGCAATAAGTGAACTTTATCTAGTTCCAAAATGTACAAATACTTGTGGATGGGGATCAATCTTGTGTTAAGAAAATCTGTTTTTATTAAATCATCAGTGTTACGGTTACTTAAACCCCTGACTGGTTCTATGACATAAAGATTTCCTTTTTTTTTATTTTTTTTTTTTACCTTGTCTAGAAAAGGTGTGTTAATAAGTCCTTGGTTTAAATATAAGGTTGAAGGCTATGTGCCTATTTTTTTCAAATGGGAAAGTGAGAAACAACAAAAAGTCTTTATAAATTGGACAGTTTTTACAAGAAAAAAACTTCTCTTTTCAACTGGCCCTTTTTTACAGTATGAGCAATAATATAGAAGTTTATAATAAATGGAAATAATAGATCAGGTGCCACAAAGCTCAGTTAGCATGGTTAGAGAACTGAGCAAAGAGAAAGAAGAACCATTAGATTCGATCTGCAAGCTGAGTAGTTGTGTGTAAGAGCCGACTTAAAAATGAAGTCATTTTCTTTTTCTCTATTTCAAATGTTTTTAGTTAAACTGGAGCAGAGTGCTTTGGTCAGATTCATCACATTGGCTGAAAACAAAGGAAGAATACTTCCCTTAGCAAAAAGTAGTATACTTGAAGTAAATTTTATTAAGAATAATTAAGTATAAGTTTAGAAAGTATACCAAACAATGTACTTTTAGTGTACTTGAAGTATTACTAAAGTAATACTTCTTCGAACTAAATTGGGACATTTTTAAGTTTACTAAAGTAAACTTAAAGTATACTTTAGTAAACAATAAAGTAAAGAATAGTATAGTCAAGTGTACTTGACTATACTATTGTTAAGTATATGAAATATAGTTTAGAATAAGTAAACTCTTAAGTGCACTGCCTGATTTTAAGTATGAAATGAGTGCACTTTTAGTATACCGTACTTGAATAAACTACTTTTTGCTAAGGGTTGGCATATCACCTCATCCTGACTGTTAGCTCTGTTAGAAGATAGTGTAGACCTGTTTTTTCTTCTGAAGGCCCTGAAAACCTTTCTTCACCAGAAAACTTAAAATCCTTCAAAGTTTATTCGGCCAGTAACATAATGATCCAAAGCATAAGCCAAACTGGGTCAGACACGGTTTGGCTGCACATAATCAACCTTTTTTCACGTTTATCTCAAAATGGACCCCAGAACAATCTGGAGACATCCCTCCCTTTGTATGTTTCAACCTAGAGAAGGTTTCTGTTTTGCAAATGAACAACAGGGGGTTGTACAACTTATTTCCAGGGTTGTCAAGAATTGTGATTTAAAATAAGTATTTCTTCATATTTAGTTTTATTTCCTGATCTTGTTCAAATCTTTTTAGAGTTCTGTTTTATTTAAAGGTAAGCCCCAGCCTTTGATAGAAGCTTTGTAATGCAGAGGTCCAGAAATGTAAGTAAATGTACATTTTTAGTCAAGTTGCCTTCAGTAGTGTGACCCTTTAAGTGTGTAGCCTTGACTGTTGTATCAATCCTGAACTTCCTCCGTCAATCTGAACCCATTCCTGGTGAAAGCATACAGGAATATGTTTTTGCAAACAGGGATTCTCTCATCTAGTTCTGCTGCTTCGGTTTCAGCGTGTCGACTATCAGCTTGACAGGAGGTTAGGGAAGTTTGTAAGATGAAAAAAAGGCAAAGTGGATTGACATATTGCAGCCTGAATAGATGTAGGACATTGAGAAAGGACGTTCTCTGGATCCAAGGGACAGATCTTCACTAGGGCAAGGGTGCTGCATTGAAAAAACCCAACAGAAAGCCAAGTTTTCAGGTGAAACGTGGAGTAGAAGTGATTTGGAGGAATGAGGTGCTTGTGTATTTTCTCTACCTCTCCACTGATACCTGCCTCTACACTATAACATCCTAAAAACATCAGTTTGTAGCTTGAAAACTCGTGAGATGCTGTCATAGAGATAAGACGTCTTCCTGCACTAAATCAGCACTGAGCCCTGAAATGCGCATATTGTTATGGTCATGGTGCATTCCTTCACTATTTTTTCTCTACTTTACCTTTACAGCTTTTGTGAACACCTTTATGCAAACTACATGAGGCACATTTGTAACAAGATTTCACACACCTTCTTGTTCTGTCTTAACACACAAACTCACGCTTTAAAGTGCATTTTGCTATGTCCATTTGTTGTGTTTTACTGTGGAACAAAGGACCAGGGGCTTTACAGTCCTGCTGCACATGTAAAGGGCAGGATTTTCTGCACATTGAGGCCTCGCACAAAACCTCCACGTTTCAGAAAAAAAAATACAGCTGAGTTACATTTTACATCTTCTGAGTAATTGCATTTGTTAACAATGTGGCTACCTAAATGGAGTTACTTCATGAGATAACTAGGTATTGTGTGCATTTTGGAAATCTTAACAGATTGTTAAAGTTTTTTTTTACTTCATGGATTTTCGTTTTTGAATCACTTAAAATAAAATGTAATTAAAATAAATAAAACGAGTATGTCTTTATTTGAAGACGTTAGTACCGAAATTATGTTTTGTTTTTTGTTTTTATCATTGGTCACTGTATAGGTAAGATAAAAGATTTTCCAACGTGTTGAAAAAAAAAAAACTTTGTCATGGATGAATTAACATTTAGAAAATGATTTCCAAGTAGGCATATATATATATATATATATATATATATATATATATATATATATATATATATATATAGGATTTCCAGTGGTATATATATATATATATATATATATATATATATATATATATATATATATATATATATATATATATATATATATATATATATATATATATATATATATATATATATATATATATATATATATATATATATATATATATATATATATATATATATATATATATATATATACCACTGGAAATCCTAACCAAGCCACAGGAAGGCGCTATACCGGCTTTAAGTTGTGCGAAGAAGAAGAGAAGGGAAACAAGATGGCGTCGCAATATTACCAAGAGATGCAGGAGAGCTTCAGAAATAACAACAAAAGCCGGGAGTTCCAGGCTCATACAGCCAAAGTACATTCAGTGGCCTGGAGCTGCGATGGGAGGAGGCTCGCCTCCGGCTCGTTTGATAAAACAGCCAGCGTTTTTGTCCTGGAAAAGGACCGTTTGGTGAGTGAAGTCCCAGTGCACTGCATGGTGACTGTAACCTCCGTTTCCCTCTTTATTGTTGTCTCTGCTCACACATGCTGAGTTTTATTATGGCTGAATTTCCTTCAAAGCTGCTCTCATTCACAGGTATCTTTAATACCGTTGTCAGAAAGTGAACCAAGTCTTAGAATTTGACTGAAAGGCGGTTAGGTTGAAATGACTGGATGCATTATACTGATTATAACATTTTTAAAACATCTTTCTACACCGTTTCGGATAAGAAAACATCCTTAGTAAATATAAGTGCAGTAGAAATAAGGCAGAAATGTCAGAAAAGATCGATTTTTACACTTTTAACCAAAAAGGCGGATACACATTAGAGGTAATATCAAGGAACTTTTAAAGATGATAATTATAATTCTATAATTTTGTTTTGCAGAAACATACAATTTAGTTTTAAGTTTATCATTAACTGTTAAAAAAAACGGTATTTAAGGATAGCAGATGAACCAGAGGATCTCCCCTCCTAATTACAGAAATGTGGGTTGTCAGGGCAACGGTGGCTGAGATTTATCTGGTACTGGAACAAGGCGGGAGGTCTTCCACATCACTTCAACTGTCTCCTGGGTCGTCCTAATGTTTTCACGTGACTCCTGAAACTAAAGCTTGTGTCTTCCTCTAGGTGAAGGAGAACAACTACAGAGGACACAGTGACAGCGTGGATCAGCTGTGCTGGCATCCAACCAACCCTGATCTGTTTGTCACTGCGTCCGGAGACAAAACCATTCGCATATGGGACGTGCGCACAACCAAATGCGTCGCCACAGTCAACACGAAGGGTACGATCGTATCTGGGGATGCTGTAATCTTCACCTAGCAAAGATTTGAAAAGAATCTAATTATTTTCCCTGTCTCTTTTTTTTTATTTTTCCTCAATCAAGGTGAGAACATCAATATCTGCTGGAGTCCAGACGGTCAGACTGTCGCAGTCGGGAACAAAGATGACGTTGTGACCTTCATCGACGCCAAGACGCACCGCTCCAAGGCTGAGGAGCAGTTCAAGTTTGAGGTGAACGAGATCTCCTGGAACAATGATAACGACATGTTCTTCCTCACCAACGGGAACGGCTGCATCAATATTCTGAGGTAGGAACCAAATGGATCTGTGAACCTCAGGCTCCATTTGCTTTCTTAAAATGGGTTCTGATGTATGAAAAAAAAGACAGATACTTCAGAGTGATCCTATTCATTTTAGGAAAAAAGGCCAATTAAAGAAAATGATACAGAACTTCTGAGCTGTGGAGGTTCTGTAGAGGCAACTTCTTAAAATGACTCTTCACACTGAAAGGCTGCAAAATTTGTTATTGCAACATCAGGAGGATCACTTCAGACAAAGAGCAGCTCAATGATGAATGAAAAGAAAGTTTCTGGTGATAAAGTTACTATTTTTTGCCGTGTTTCATTTATCTTGAAACCCCAAAATCAGAGTAATGTGATCTCTGGGGTTTTCAGTTTCTCTCTTGTGACCGATCCTATTATTTATAGTTCCTAAACTATTATTTATAGTGGCCACTATGACCAGTGCTACAGCCATAACAATGACAAAAAAACTATGCTGGGAAGTAATATTCACATATAAATATTGCTAAATGTATCTTACCTTATAAACACAAAGTAGTAATTGTACAACTGATTAAATGTTATAAATGAAGAACTCATAATGTCAAGATTCAAGTTTAACAATCTTTGATGCGAACAGCAGCCAAGTTAAATGCAAAAGTCAATTAAATTTCAATTGAAATTTCCTTCTTGGATGTTGGATACTCTGAGTACAACTGGAACAGAAGAGGAACGGGTGGAGATTAAACGAGATTGATGGAGATCGATCCATGGCAAAATTGGACAATAATAACGCCTCTGACTGAAACCGCTTCTCTCTTGACTGCAGTTAAAATGCATCTTAAAAAGGTTGCAAGTCTCACATTACCCAGATGTCAGTTTTTTCATCTCTCACATTATTTGAAAGCTGTATTTAAAGGCGCATGCATATTATGTGCATTTTTGTAAAGCGAGGAAAAACATCTATGTCAGAATTCATCAGTCGATCGTGTAACGTCTCTCAGCAAACATTTATTTTCAT